TTTTACAAACTTAGACTCAACACATATTTGACATTTTGATTTATTACACTCGAATTTAGGCAAGGATGCCGAGGGTCATTTGGAAAAATCCTCTCTACCCCAGGGTAGGGGTAAGGTCTGCGTACACACTACCATCCCAGACCCCACTAGTGGGATTATACTGGGTTGTTGTTGTTGTTGTTGTTGTTGTTGAATTTAGGCAACACTTCTAAATTAATTAACTTCCGCAAGGTCTTGTAATTGACATGTCCTAAACGAATATGCCATAAATCATTTGACTCCAATAAATAAGAAGAAGCTATAATTTTATTCATACTGTCAACAACCATTACATTTAGTTTGAAGAGGCCCTATGTGAGGTAGCCCTTTCCAACATACATTTCATTTTTGCTTACAACAACTTTATCAGAAACAAATACACATTTGAATCCATTCTTAACAAGCAAAGAAGTAGAAACTAAATTCTTCCTAATAGTAGGAACATGAAGAACGTTGTTGCGCGTTTACACCTTGCCGGAAGTCATATTCAGGAATTTCTTCCCATAACCTTCAATCTTGGCTGTTGCTGTATTTCCCATGGAAAGCTCTTCTTCGGGACCAGCAGTAGAGTAAGTCGTAAATGCTTCCTTGACAACACAAACATGTCGAGTGGCTCTAGAGTCAATCCACCACTCCTTCGGATTTCCAACTAGGTTGCATTCCGAAAGCATTGCACATAAATCATCAATGTCATCATTTTTTTCCACTATGTTGGCCTGTCCCTTCTTCTTATACTTTTTCGGGAGACGACAATCAGGGGCTTTGTGACCGGTTTTTCCACAATTGTAGTAGCTGCCCTTGAATTTCTTTGTGTTCTGCTCCTTAGTCTGTTCAGAAGACCTCTTTCTCTTCTTACTTTTTGGAGCAGTCTCCTCAACGATATTAGCTCCCATGATCGTTGAATTTCCACGAGATTTCTTCTCGGCTGTTTTGTTGTCTTCCTCAATCTTGAGACGGATCACAAGATCTTCCAACTTCATTTCTTTGCGCTTGTGCTTAAGATAGTTCTTGAAATCTCTCCACGAAGGAGGCAATTTTTCAATCATTGCAGCCACTTGAAATGCTTCATTCACGACCATACCTTCAGCAATAAGGTCATGAAAAATATGTTGAAACTCCTGAATTTGGGTTCCAACAATTTTACTGTCTATCATTTTATAGTCTAGAAATTTGGCAACCACGACAGTCGTGTACTTCTTCTCAAGTGCGTCCCATAATTCTTTTGAAGTATTCATCGCACTGTACACATTGTACAAGTCATCCTCTAAAGCGCTTAAGATATAGCCTTTGCAAAGAAAATCTGCCTGCTTCCACGCCTCAACAATCATGAATTTCTCGTTGTCCGGCTTGTCCGGCATGTCCGCAGCAGGCACCGGAGGTTCTTCACTAGTGAATTTATGCATACCAAGTGTGGTAAAGCCAGAAGAACACCCTTTGCTGCCATCCTTTGAAGTTGGCTCCGGAAAATTTCCCCGGTTTCTCTGCCGGTGGAACAACAGTCTGGCTTGACGAGGCTATCGTCGTTGCCGCAATAGTCGCAGAAGAATTTCCGTTATCAATTGCCATTTCTCACTGTAAACAACAGAAGAGTTCAATTAATGGCAAAATCAGAACAGTAAACAATACTGTTATTAACAAAAACAGTATGTATAATAAATAAAACCGAAGTTTTTATATACTGTTTCACAGAAAAACGATGAAGTTTTTATGTTCTTCAAATCGTTTTATGAATTTCAATACTCTTAGTTTTTTATATCTTCAAATTCAGAAGGAGTAGAAAACAATACAGGTTTTAATCTCCACAAACAAAATACAGAATATAATAAATTAATTTCCTTAAGAATGTTATAATTTTGTATTGCTGTAATAAACAATTAAACTTTCTGGAAAAAAAAAACAGAAAGTTAGTAATACTTGTTTAACGAAATAAATTCTGGAAAAACAGTATAGGAATAAATCGAGCCCACTGAATACACAGTGTGTCCTTAATGAAATTATTCCCCTGAAGTACCCGAGGTGCTGGAATATATCCTCCCAGGATAGAACGATTTAACGCACCAGAGTGTTGGTACCAAAACGCCGGTGAACAGCGAGCCACTCGAAGGCTGTAAAACACACTGGAATTTTTGTNAAAGGTTTGCAACCTTTCAGAAACAGCCATGGCTGTTGGAAAAGGGTTGTTTGAAATATTGCGGGAAAAATGTATTTAAAATAATCCGGGAAAGAAAACGGGCCTGACCGAACCGGGTCGCGGGTCATGGGTTATTCCGTATTGAATTTTTTCGTTAATTATTTAATTAATTAATTGAAAGAAATTTTGTCCAAAAAGATTAATCAATCAATCTATCAAAAAGCCAAAGCCGAGCGAGCGACGACGACGACGGCGCGAGGCTTGCCTTCTTCTTAACTCTTTAAGAGCTAGAAGAAGAGCAATTATATATATACCCATCAAAAGTCTTTTCTTCCTCCGATATGGGACAATGTCCCTTTGCCAAGGGAAAATCAAATATTTCATTTTCCTCCATTTCTCATTCACCCTCTTTAAGCTACACAAGCTTAAAATCCCAACATATTTAATGTGTGTGTGGCAATTTGCAATTTATTTTTCTATTTCTATAAGTTGAGCTTTTCTTCCTGTTCCGATCATGTTTACATGGCTGAAACTCAATATAAAAAACAAGGGTAGGTGATCAAAAATCGTTGGATGCTTAAAATCAGTAGACGTTTTGCTAAATGAGCGACCAATGTTATTGAAAACGTTCATGTTTTCAACCCTTTTGGCATACATTTGAGCATTGCCCAAGATTTTGGATAAGTAGATGCAGTGCTTATAATTTTAAAGCATTGTATCCTGCCTTGTTTTTCATTGTCAAAATTAATTAACTTACAAGTATTTCTATAAGTTGCTTCATAAATTAGAAGTAAATCTGGATTGTGTAATGTTATTCGCCTCGTAAATACTGAAAGCTGCTTGAACAAGTGAAAAAACACAGACAAACGTAACATTCTCCATGGATTGATGAGACTTGTAAAATACATATATAGAAATTTGGCTTGTAACCACATGTATATTATGCCATATGGATGTGACATTGATGTGACTAGACCTAAATGTTTTGTTTCCATGTCCACTGGAGTTTTACGTATAGTTAAGAGGAGAAAAGACTGAGGAATACTAATGTATGATGGTACCCCTTTGCTTCTTGACCTGGATACCCAGTGTTCCTATTCATGCCTATACTTTGGTCCTTGATTTCACTCTCCCTTTTCTAACTTGAGCTGCATCAAAGAAATTTCCACTGTAAAAAAATAAATAATGCTCACCATATCTCTGCAACATTGCAAACATGTATCCCATATGATTGATATTGGTGCGACATGGCAAACATGTATCCTATTTGATGATCAATCAAATTTATTTTTCCCCTGTCAAAATGACCTCAGTGTGTAATTCCCTATGTATTTGATAGCATTGTAACTCGTGTCATGATTCATGAATAGGGTACTAGAATTGCATGGTTGACAAATATTAACTGGTCGATTGATGATCCACAAAACATGCACTTACTGACTAAAATGTGATGGGACAGATTTATTTTTGTTTGTGATTAACACAGTACTTAACCCTATACTTAATACAATTTGGCCTAGCTACAATCTTTTCTTCAGTGCAAATTCCTTGTTACACGACCAATATTGTCTTTCTGAGTTCTATTCTGTTGTTACTTACACTTTTATTATTCGAATAAGACATTAGATTGCTTGCATGCAAATTGATAGCCACTTGTTTCAGGAAGAATACTGTTGGTCAGTACGAGAGCCATACTGCATTCACCCTCCCAGGACTATATCGCGTCGTTCATGGCATTGATGTTTTCGATCCCAAATTCAATATAGTGTCTCCTGGAGCTGACATGACAATTTACTTCCCATATTCTGACAAGGAAAAAAGACTAACGTCTTTGCATGGCTCGATTGAGAAGTTGTTATTTGATCCTGCGCAGAATGAAGAGCATATGTAAGTGACATCCATTTGTACTTATTTTAATTTGGAATAGATGACATACTTATTTGCATGAATATAAACTGACAACCCAGAGATTTCCTACATTAGAAAAGGAGGGTCTGATATGATTTTCTACAAATAAATTCCCAGTGATATTGTTCAAAAAGTCCTGGATACTTTATTATGAGAGAACCAGGGATAGATGGCACTAGAATCCCTTAATCTTGAGAAGTCGCCACTTATCGCTCCCAACACTTTCTGAGACCCTCAAGTAACTACTATTATTGTTTGATATCTTGGAGAAGCTATAAGAATCTTTTTCTCCTTATTGTAATTTTTTTTACGTGACTTTAAACTTAACTTCCAAGCTCCTTCTGATAAAATGCAAAAACTGTCTGTATTCACTGTCTTGGTTTATTAACAATTGATCCAATCAAATGCATATGGAACATCTTTCTTTTTGTTTCTTCAAAAGTTCGTTTGAGGATAAGGAGTAGAATCTGAGAAGATAGACTAGTAGGTAACCTTAGGGGCGGATGTAGAAATCAACGTATGGGTTCAGCTTTGTTGCAGACCCTGTATATGCATTAAAAAAATCACTAAATAAGTAAATAATTGATTTTGAACCCAGTAAATCAAAATGAGTTGTAGTAGAATCCTGAACTCGAACCGATAAAGTTGGATCCACTACCGGGTAAACTCTACCTTGAGAAGTGTTTATATATGTCCCTAATTATTTCTTTTCTGTTTCCTTTCTATTTTAATTTTTTAAGTTCCTTTTTAGATGGTTTTATTTTTTGACAAGTGGTAAGTTGTTAGTATTCCAAATTAAATGCCATTGCCATAACTATATACATTTATAAAGATTGATTGACCCTAGTTTCTCATTCCTAAGATCCAAATAAGGCAATAAACAATATGTCTTAGTACTTGAACCTGCTTCTGGTGGTCAACACTTGATCGCGTAGTTAGTTATAGATGACTGTAAAAACCTTAATCATTTTAATGGTTTTGTCAAAGAACAAATATCGGACATATTATAGCGAATGGACTATTGTACTTTTCTTCTGATTGGTCATTTTATTGTGATCCGTAAGTTGGCTGAGACTGATGTCATATCTTTGCTTACAGAGGTAATCTGAATGATAAATCAAAACCCATAATTTTTTCAATGGCAAGGCTAGACCATGTTAAGAACATTACGGGACTAGTTGAGTGCTATGCTAAAAATGCCACATTGAGGGAATTGGCTAACCTTGTTGTTGTAGCTGGATACAACGATGTAAAGAAATCCAGTGATAGAGAAGAAATAGCAGAAATTGAGAAGATGCATGCTCTTATTAAGGAGCATAAATTGGATGGGCAATTCAGATGGATAGCAGCCCAAACAAACCGGGCACGTAATGGTGAGCTCTATCGCTATATAGCTGACAAGAGAGGTATATTTGTTCAGGTACGCTGTTTGTATTGTATTTGTCCACATTCCTTTTTTTGCACCGAAAGAAAGGTTGTTATTGTGACAAATATGTTTGTTTTAGCCTGCATTTTATGAAGCATTTGGACTCACGGTGGTTGAAGCTATGACTTGTGGTCTTCCAACATTTGCAACTTGCCATGGTGGTCCGAACGAGATCATTGAACACGGTGTATCTGGGTTCCATATTGATCCTTATCATCCCGATAAAGCTGCTGAACTCATGGCAGAATTCTTTCAACGCTGCAAACAAGATCCTACTCACTGGGAAAAAATATCTGCATCTGGTCTCCGAAGGATTCTTGAGAGGTTTGTAGTTGTGTACATATATAGAAGATTAAAGATTGTTCCCTTGATATTATTTGAATGAAAAATAACAGTAACATCTCTTTTTGAACATCGCTCAAGTTCTTGTGTTAAATAATTGTTAGGTATACGTGGAAAATTTACTCCGAGAGGCTGATGACTTTGTCTGGTGTATATGGTTTCTGGAAGCTTGTTTCAAAACTTGAGAGGCGCGAAACTAGACGATACCTTGAGATGTTCTACATTCTCAAATTCCGCGAGTTGGTGAGTGCCTTTTTGCTCATTTTCAGTTACAATCAACTATATATGTGGTTTAAATACGTATTAAGCATAAACATGTCCGTGATTGCGGCTGTCGAAAATGCTATGGACATATCCTGAGCTAAGGAGTTTTCAAGAGAATTGATTTGGCTTACTCTGTTTACAGGCAAAATCTGTTCCTCTGGCAATTGATGACAAGTGATGGTGCAAGCAGTAGGATGCGAAAATAATCATAATAGCGTACGTGGATAGAGAGTAGCAGCAGTTGTGAACTCCATCAAAATGCAGACATAAATCTTACACATTACTCATTGTGCCATTGTCAATAAATGTGATGTTATTGTAAAAGCAATTTACCGCCCCATTCTACTTGAACTCCCAGGTTCCTGTTGTAGTTCTTAAACCAATGTTCACTGTTAGTGGTTTTTTTTGGTTAAAGAGAAATATTAATATGAAATACTACATGCTGTTACTTAAGTTGCTCCTAGAGGATTGGCGTACTTAGACGATTAAAGGCTGTCATAATTTTATCCTCTTCACATGTGGACGTAAGTTAATTAATCACGTTAAATGTTTGTGTTTCTTTTGGTATATTTTTTTTTTGTTTTATGATTATTGTTGTTCAAGATTTATTTTATTAGTTTTCGCATAATATGGATAAAGTACCAAAAAAGAGATACAACGTTTAGTTTCAACTTTTTTTTTAGGCATAACTAATGCATGTCTAAGTTACATGAAAATTTATGTATTATTTTATACGTACGCTGATTTTTAATACAATTAAATGCCAAAACTAACTCTTCATGTAACGATAAATATTTATTTTGTTAAAAAAATTTAAAATATAGTGTATAATAATTTAAATAATATACCAAACATCTAATAGTAAATACTTCTCATATTACGGTCTTTGTAATACAATTACCATGTTGATTCATTATTACAATTTTTATATTATTAATCCTTGCATAAATTCTTTTTAAACCAAGCGACCCCACAGTGAACAAGGTTTTGGTGAAGCTTTGAAAGTTGCGCCAAGATAACATTTCAAATAGGATAAATGTGACACTATTTGTAAGTTAAACATACAAACTTTGCTAGTGACCAATTAGACATTTTTACTTCGTAGAAATGTTTTGCACATGCACATGCACATGCACATGAGAGCGTGAATCACAAGTTAGGCTGTTTTCTTCATTTTTTTTTTTTTGAAGTAAGGGTGATTCATTAATAGGCATAAAGAAGTATAAAAAGGTAGATAACTAGTTCCAGTACAAAAATCTATACTAAGAACAGGGAGTTAATGAAATTCACAAGGTGATCTGCACTAGTTACAGGGGAAAGATAAATCCAGCTAAATAGATTAACTAAGCAAATATTCTTGAGGGAGTAGGTTGGAGTTGAGATGCCATCAAAACACCTATGATTTCTTTTTTTCCAGATACACCAAAAAATTACTACTTTCCAGATCATTTTGATGACTTTGTCAACTCTCCAAAAACACCAACTTTCATATGCTTGCTTTATTGTCTAAGGCATAACCCATTTCAGACCAAAAATAGAGAAGAGGAGATTCCAGATTTCACTTGCAATTGTGCAATGGAGGAAAAGATGATTGACACTCTGAATTTTGTTGACACATGTAACATCCGTAATGTTCCTCTTGCTTAAGTTATCTTGAGTGAGACATACCCCCTTTATAGCTATCCAGGTGAAGCAATTCACCTTGGCAGGAGCCTTAGTTCTCCAGATATGTTTCCAAGGCCAGTTATCTATCATACCATTCGACCTGGGAGCAAAAGTGTTTGCATCTATCTTGGATTGTGTATTTGCCCCCCTTAGAGTGTTCCCATCTAAGTTTGTCTGGTTGCTGATCATCACTGATGTGGCCTTCTAAAGAGTTGAGCATAGTTAGTAGGTCACTAATCTCCCAGTCTTGTAGGTTCCTTCTGAACAGGGGGCACCATGTGCCATTTTCTTTGTTCTAAGCAACAGTGCCTTGTTGAGTGCAATCTGGTATAGATTGGGATATATATCCATCAGTGCATTATCTCCATGCCACTTGTCTTTCTAGAATTTAACATGATCTCCTTTCCCAACCTTGAAAGTTATATTTTGAAAGAACTCATCCCAGTGCTTGTTGATATTCTTCCATAGGCCAACGTCATAAGGAGTGTTTATTTTCTTTGTACACCAGTGATTATGTTGCCCATACTTAGCATCAATGATGTTCTTCCATAGTCCAAGTTTCTCTTGCCCATATCTCCACAACCAATTCAATAACACTGCTCTGCTATGCAAATATAAATCTCCAACACCCAAGCCTCCTTGATATCTTGGCCGAATTATTTTAGACAATTTTACGAGTGAGAACTTATGTGTGGTGCTGCATCCCTCCCATAAGAATTTTCTCTGTATCGAGAACAATGCCATGTGGTAGGTGGGGAGACTATCTAGGACACTTTTGATAAGGGTTAATCTGCCGCCTATGGAGAGGTATTGCATATGCCATGTTGCAAGTCTTTTCTCAAACTTTTCCAGCACATCACTTCAAATTTCATTAGATTTAAACTTAGCCTCCAATGGTAGTCCTAGATATGTGGTAGGCAAGGTACCTATGTTGCAACATAGAATGTCGGCCAACTCCTCGATGTTAGGAATATTATTCACGGGTAGATAATACTTTTTATCATGTTAATGTGCAGTCCAGAGAGTGCCTCGAATATCAGCGTTAAGTTAAGATTCAGAACTTGTGATCTCTCGTTGCTGCAGAAGATAAAAGTATCATCTACAAAGAGCAGGTGAGATACTATGACGGCACTACAAAGTTCCTTCCCACCTAAAAACCTTGTATCCACTGTAATTGCTAGCCCTCTCCAACATTTTGGTGAGTCCTTCTATAACCAAAACAAAGAGGAAAGGGGAGATGGGGTCTCCTTGCCTCCTTTTTTAGGAGAGAAAGCCAATAGGGCTCCTATTTACCTACAGTTGAAATGCAAAAAATTCATCCATCTTGTTCATTTTCTCAATTTCGTTTTCTCTTTTAGTCATATATTTCACCTTCTCTTTCTCGCTAATTTTTTCAGATTCTTTCTTTCCTCCTTCATCCAACTCCTAGCCGTGTTGGTGCTCTGAAGTTATGAGAACAACTCCCAGTGCTGAGAAAACGATCGACAATACGAAGAAATATGAAGATAGGGTAAACCCCTTTTTTTAATAGGCATCATATGAAGAGGGGTTTGGCTTCTAGTAAGAATAGTAACGAAGTCTTCTACTTAATAAAGAGATTAAATTAATAAAGAAGAAAGAAGATTCTTGTTTGAATAAAAATAGAGAAACACAAAAATGGCTATATAAAATCCGAGGAAGATAAAATTGGTGGAGACAAAAAATTCCCAGAGAATCTTTTAAGGCCAAAAGCATTTTAGCAATGCAATGAAAGACCAATTATTATTATTATTATTTTTGTGTGTGTGTGTGTGTGTTAGGGGCGGGGTGGTGCTAAGGGGTTAGGGGAGAAAAAGAATAAGTGGGCATTTGGACATAAGAATTGTAAAATTCCGGAAAAAAGTGAAAATAAAATTTAAGTGAAAATGATATTTGAAATTAGAGTTGTGTTTGGACATAAATATAATTTAGAGTTATTTTTAAATTTTTGTGAGTGATTTGAAATGAAAATTTTAAAAAATAATTTTTTGAAGTTTTTCAAATTTCTGAAAAATTTCAAAATTCATCTTCAAGTAAAATTTAAAATTTTAACGGACAAACACTAATTCCGAAAAAGTAAAAAATTTCCTAGTGCCAAACGGGCCCTAAGATGTGGAAAGGATTAATGAAGAGAAAGATTGTACCGGGGGATAAGGTTACGTAAAAGAAGGGACTACAGGGGAGAAGATTGAAGGAGTTACATGTATTTCTTGTCTTTTAGAAAAAATATAATTATAGTTGTAGTCTTTTTTCTGGAAATGACATGCGTCACCGATTGATTTGATCTTAGACATATCCGCAGCGATTGAAATTCACACAGATGATCTCATGGACGGAGGTGTTTGAAACACATTTTTTCCCGAGTAAACTTTAACTTACAAATGGTGCCAAGTTTAAGGGGTATTTATTGCTTATTTGGCCAAACTGAAAAAATTAGCTTATTTTGATAAGTATTTTTTTCAAAAGTATTTTTCAAAAAAATACTTTTAGAGAAAAACAGTTTGTGTTTGGCTAATCAATTTGAAAAACACTTTTGAACAATAATTTATGTTTGGCCAAGTTTTTAAAAAAATGCTTTTATGTGTCAAATTACAAATAAGAACACGAAGAGATTTGATGAATAGTTAATATTATATAAGCAGGTAAATAATTATAAATTTTTATTATTAAAGATAATAATTAAGTTTTTTATTTTATTTAAGTAAACTATAAAAATAAAATTGATAAGTACTTTATTCTTTCAAGATAATTTAAATATATCAAAAATCATCCAATAAATATGAAAGTTCATCCCAAAAGTCATTTTATATTACTTAATAATTTAAACTAAGTAAGGTTATTTTGGTATATATAATATTTTCCAAAGGATATTTTTGGTAAGAAGAAAAGTCAAAACTGCTTCTGCTTCTAACCAAAAACACTTTTTTTTTAAAAAAAAAACTTGGCCAAACATCTCAAATTGAGGTAAAAAACACTTTAAAAAAAAAAAGCACTTTTGGCATGCCGAGAAACTTGGTCAAACAGACTATTAGCCTTTCAAATAAGACAACGATAAAGAGAATACCCACTAGATTTTTTTTTTTTTAAAGTTAACTTTAATGAACTGTTCTGGTAACTTGATTTGTTCCCCCGACTTTGATAAGCTCTGTTGGTTGAACCATTTCATAGAAAGATATGATAACATTGAACACACAAATGAGAACTAAATACGGAGTACAGAAATATAGGTAATTCGCACAAGAATTGAATTTGGAACCTCTTTCAAATCATTCTAACTGAATCCAATTCTTTGCCTTGTAACCTTAAGACTTGGCAGTGCTTTCACTAGCCCAGCACAAAGCAGACAACAGAGACAAATGCTGAGGAAAGAGTAACTCTTCCGTGTATACAATGTGTGGGTGTCAATGTGGGAGGATATTGCAACTGTTAAAATTCATATAATCATCTTGTTAATCAGAACATTCTCTATGCTCAGTGCAGCTATGAAATAACTGGACTAAATCTCACATCTAGTTAAGGCTAAAATACGTAATTTATTTCATGGCAGGAGATGAAATCATGCATCTACAAGCAAATTCATACTGAATTGCATGAATAATTCAGAGTTCTGAACATAGCTTCTTAGAAAGAGGAACAAGGGGAATACGGAGGCAGAAGGCCTTTTCAATTTTAGTATCCTATGTCCAAAATTCTACAAAACTTGATTTACTGTCAGGACATAAAATCATCGCGCAGTCAAAACCCATTACGTTGGTAGGAAGAAACGGATTTTCACATCAG